GCTTACAATCTTATAGAAGCAAATTGACAACAAATTTGACCACCAACCTCTGGCTTAAGGTGCCCTGCCACAAAATACATTAAACACAATGTGTTTTTTTTTTTTTTTTTTCCCATGACCCTGGTGGAAATGCAACACATTTTCCTGCCTCAGCATTGTTAGTATAAACAAACGTCTAAACTTTTCAGCATAGCTATAACTTTGAGTTCCGTCTAAATATGTATATGTTTTCCACCTTCGTCCACCTCTTATTCTTCTTCTCTTCTCCCTCAGTTCTCCAAGGCTTTGCCTTCTCTTTTGGTGGCAATTTACAGCCATCCAGGAAATTAATTCTTTTGGATGCCCACATCACTGCACTCTATCACTCGGCTGCAAGTGATGTGTTACCAGAGACACTCCCACAATATTGGCCATAAAACTGCTCACAGGGCCATATTAATGCAGCAGTGGACCAGTTCCAGCCCTCTGAAGGACAAAGGATGTCTGTGTCTTAAATTTGAACACTTCCAGGCAAGACTAACAGAAAAAGACACTCTTTGGATCTATCAAAACACTTACTCATTAAACAATTACTGTTTCATGTTATTTGGAGTAAAATCAAGCGAGATTTCGCAAACATTTCCCCCAGAAAATTTTGAATCAATAATTATTTATCATGTAATAATTATTTAGAGCCACACTTTTCTGACCAACGTCTAACCTTTTAAGAAACACTGACAGCCAGGTCTTGGAAAATCTTATGTAGCACCAAAGGTGGCCCCGGGCTTTGGTCAAACAGCCAAATGCTTGATGAATTCCTCCTTTGAGACATGGGAGTGTCACAATGGAAAGGGTGATGAAGAAGAAGACAGCCGTGAACAGAATCCAGTGAGCACGTTTGCATAAATAACTGTATGTATTTCTAGGGAAGAAGTGTTTTTCGGCCAACTGAAGTGTGAAGGACTGACTTTCATAAGGTCAATCTCAAGATCTCATATTGTCACATATTTGTCCATTCCACTGTCATCAGCGATGGCACTCTGCAACTCTGCTTTTCACATGTGTTTACACACAAGTCCTCAGAAAAAGCTACATTCTTCTAAGCTGACATGCAGGAAAAATGTTGGTTTGCAGACAGAAAAATACCCTAAATCTGTTTATTAGGGCAGAAATCTTCTAAATGGCAGCTTTAATTCAGCCAAGTTGTTGTGTTAAATTGTTTTTGTCTGTCTATACATTTCCTGGTCATAAAGACTGTTGAGACATTTCAGAGAATCTGGTAAAGATTTGTTGAGTATTGCAAAAAAGTGAAATTGAGTGATGTTACAAAAAGCATAATTGCCCGCAATTTGCAATGTAGCCTGTCAAAATAACAAATGTGTTTAGATTTTTATTTTGTTTATTGTAATAATGTTATAATGGAATTGGAGTGACTGTCAGCAGGTGGCTGTAAATCTGCAGCTGAGACAATAAGGAATGAGAAATAAATGCTGTTTTCATTGGACTTGGATTGAGATAATGAGGAGGGGCGAAACTAATTCATACAGGGAAAAATGAAAACTGAGAAGAACTGAAAGCGTGGTTTAAAACCACAAGTAAGAGAAAACAATCCAAACAGGACGGAAAGAAAGAAGTAAAGAATTTGTGAAAATGTTAAAAGCAGGGCTTGTTCAGAGAATAATATCCCTGGCTATACATCTGAAAATGGAAGGTATTTGGTTTAACGTGATTGGTAAGCAGAGCATTAATCAGAAAAAGTGTAGGAAAATGCTTGGTGACTTTTCATTTCATTTCATTTATTGTTTATTTGAAAGGGGACAGTGTACATTAATAAACATTAAAACAATGTAAATATACCCGAGTTAGCTAAGGAGTGCTAATTTTCATCGGTAGTCCCCCAGCCAGATATTAAAAAGGCAACCTTAAAAATAAACACAAGTATAAAATCACAAGATTAAATGACTTTGGAAGAACTGCAGAGATCCACAGCTCTGCAGATGGAGGTATTTATTCACATATTAGTTTGCGTTTGCGGGGTAGTTCAGG